CAAGTGGGAAAAATTGAGGGCGAGCCTCGCTTAATTGTGAAATCCAGGTCGATTCTCCCACGGCAGTAGATGTCTGCATCTGGGCAGGTGGATGCCGGGGGAGGGCTCAGCTCCAGAACCAAACAGCTCAATTTTCATTACCTGTAACGCGCCTTCCCAGCGCCGCGCAGGTGCCTCAGACTCCGCTTGGCCTCCGGCATCTCTACGTGGGCAGCGAAAAGCGGCTCTAAATCCCCGTTAATAACACCAGGAGACCAGGCATGCCACTCGCAAGACAGCTGAAATGAGATCTCTGGACCTGGAGGTGAACCTCACCCCGTCAGCAAAGGGCCATCAAATAATTCCGACTTCTACGCTGGGGTCCGTTTGTCAGGTGCCAGGCAGCGCGCCCGCCGGCTTTGCCCTCTGGTGTAACTCTGTCAAGCGAAGATTAATGTTACCCAGGAAAAAATCAATGTTTATTTATTCTATCTGTCATAGAGTGTGACTTTAGGAGCTGCTGATGTCTCCCGGGCCAGCAGAGAGAGCGCGTCTGAATTTGCCTTTCATCTCCAGGTTAGGCATCGAGTCTGAAGCAAAGTTGAGTCAAGACAAATCCTGGCTCTTATTACCGCACCATCCTACCCGAGCAACAACTGCGCTAAGAAAAGTTGCGTTTTCCAGCGCTTTCACCTAGACGTGGTTTTCCTGGGACACAGGGAACGGGTATCTATCCCTCGTGTACTCACACAGGACTGGGAGCCCCCAGAATGTGAGAAATCATTTCATTTTCCCAGCAGTTATTGTGAAAATCACGGACTTCCAGGTGCAAACGGCTTGAGGGGAACTACGAGAAAGCCCCCCAATTTATTTCTGCTTTATTCTGGTACGGTATCGCCCGCCTTCCTCGCCTTAAAATATCCACCCACTTCCAAGCGCGTCGCTGGCGGTTGTATGCGCTTATCTGAGGCCTCGGGAACTTGAGTTTTTCCTCTCTCCAAGAGAATTTACCTTCTATTGACTTAAAGCGGCGTAACTGCTTGATAGACAAAAATTGGCGTTCGTAACATTACTGACAGCTGCTATTAAGCATTTCCATTCGAGAGACATCAAGCAGCTGAACTGCTTATATATCCAATATGGTGGAAGGTAATAATACGTTTGCATCCGAGTTTATTCTCCTGGGCTTCACAAAGCAAGAAGACCTGCAGGTGACTTGCTTTGTCTTATTCCTTGCCATCTATCTGCTCACTCTAATAGGAAATCTGGGAGTAATTATGTTAATCAGAATCGATTCGCGCCTACACACCTCCATGTACTTCTTCCTAGGCCACTTGTCTCTCCTGGACATCTGCTACTCCTCCACCATCATCCCTCAGAGCTTGCTGCATTTTTTAGCGGAGAAAAAGGTAATTTCCTTCGTTAGGTGCGCAACTCAGCTTTTCTCCTTCGCGGCTTGTGCCACCGCCGAGTGCTACGTGCTGGCCGCCATGGCTTACGACCGCTACATGGCCATTTGCAACCCGCTGCTCTACGCCGCGGCCATGTCCCAGAGGCTTTGCGTTGGGATGTTGGCTGGCGCCTACTTAGCTGGTGTGATCAGCTCCACCGTACACACCGTTTCCACGTTTCGCCTCCCGTTCTGCCGGTCCAAGAGAATCAATCATTTCTTCTGCGATGTGCCTCCGCTGCTAGCCCTCTCCTGCTCTGACACCCGCGTCAACAGGGTGATAGTTTCTGCCATGGTGGGGTTCAACGTGCTAAGCACCACTGTCTTCATCCTCGTCTCCTACTCGTCCGTCCTCTCCACCGTCTTGCGGACGCGCTCGGTGGCGGGCTGGCACAGAGCCCTCTCCACTTGTGCCGCTCACTTGGTCTCCGTCGCGTTGTACTACGGCAGCTCCCTCTTCACGTACCTGCGCCTCGGCTCCAGGCACTCCCCGGAGCGTGACCAGGTGGTCTCCGTGCTGTACTCCGTCGCAGTCCCCATGCTGAACCCGCTCATCTACAGCCTAAGAAACGCGGACGTGAAGAACGCCGCGAGGAAAGCAAAAGGTAGAGTCCTCTCCTCCTTGTCCCTCCGTGGTTCCCGCGCAGCTGAAGGGAGAGGGCTACCCTTCCGCGGTAAGGAGGGTTAGATACGGCACCTTCAAGAAGGAGGGTTTAGATATCGCACCTTCAGGGACGAGGGTTAGACGTTGCACCTTCGAGAAGCAGAGGGACTAAACGCACCTGGAAGCAGGACACCCCGAAAACACGACACCCCAAAAACACGTTTCTCCTCGAACCACGGCTACGCGCTGCGCTAGGAGGTACGGGCCCTTCCCCGGCTGGAGCCCGAGACCTGACGGTGACCATCCATTGGGCGGAAAGTTACTATCCGAGGGAAAGGTTATTTAAACATGGTTGAAATAAATATTATTTATTATTAAAATATTATAAAAAATAATAAGCCACAGCCTTCCAGGCTTCGGAGAGCTGAAGGGAGAAGGCAGGTGGTGGCTTTGCCCTGCCAACGTCCAACTAGCCAGCGCCTGACCGCTCAGCTTTTCGGTTAATGGGTGTCCCTCGGTGACGGCCCTGCTGTTAGGAGGATGTTAACAGAATTTTCCAGGGGTTTTAGCTCTAGACCACAAAGTGAGGTGGCGTGAAATAATGCTGTGACGGTGTGTTGGTCGTCAAAGCACTCCCAGTAAGCGGGAACAAGACACCTTTGAGCCTCTGCTCGGCCGTGAGTTTAACCAGGCGTGGAAAGAGCCGGAGCGGGAGGGAGGGTTTCGGGTCCTCCTCCCCCCTGAAGAGCCAAGGTGCGGGGGGC